TCCTCCACTTTCTGATCCTGGCCACCACTGATCATTCTACAGTCCCCACTCTTGTTCAGAAGGTCAGCTGAGGGGAGGGACTGGAGCTGGCTTTGGGGCTGGCTTCATTCATGAGTTGACAGCTCAGCTCTTTTTAGGGCTGACTTGTATTCCACTGTGGTGTCCCAGACCCGTTCACCCACTCACCCATAGAAGGACATCTGGGTTACTTCCAGGTTTGAGTAATGACAAATAAAATTGCTACAAACATGAGTGTGCAAGTCTCTATGTGGACATACGGTTTGAACTCCTTTGGGTAAATACCAGGGGGAACAATTGCTGGGTTATATGGAAGTAAACCACCACACTGCCTTCCAAAGTGGCCTCACCACTGTGCACTCCCACAGCGCTGAGAGTTCCTGTTGCTCCTCCTCCTCGTTTTGGATGTTGGCCATCTGGCAGGTGTGCAGTGGTGTCTCATTGTTGTTTCAGTTTGTAATTCCCTGGTGACGTCTGGCAGTGAGCATTTTTCCATATGTATAATTGCTCTCAGTATTTCTTCTTTGGTGAGGTGGCTGCTCAGACCCTTCCACCATTTTTTAAATTGGGCTGTTTGTTTTCTTATTGTTGACCTTTACTGCGTTCTTTGTATGCTTTGGCCATGAGTCCTCTATCAGATAAGTGCTTTCCAAAAACACATTTTCTCCTGGTCTGTGGCATGCCTTTTCATTCCTCCCCAGTGTCTGCTTGGTGTGGCACTTTTTTGTATGTTCCATCTAAAAGAGTCTTTGCAGATTCTGAAGTCAAGAAGAGGGTCCCCTTTGTCTTGCATTCCTATGGGATTTGCCATCCATATTGATCTAACTGTTCTCTATAGTGTGAGGGAGGGATCACACCTTTTGATCCAGTTTGGAGGTGACTGTTTATTGAGGAGCTCACCCTTTCTCCACTGCATTTTCCATTGCCCTGACACCACACAGGAAACTCTTCCATCCCTTGCACCACTCTTGGTCAACACTGTCCTGCTTACTGTACGCAGTAGTCATTCTCTCTTAAACCTCACCCCCACCACTTCTGAAACAGCTTGTGTCAAGGTCAGATTGCTAAACCCAGTGGCTCAAGCTTGATCCTGCCTTCCTATACCCCCACAGATGTCTAACCCTGAGGCCACTCCTCTCCTGGAGACACTTCCTTCAGTGGCTTCCAGGCACTTCTCTCAGTCCCTCTGTCTTCAGATGGCCATATCTCCATGTCCTTTGCTGGTTTCCCCTCAATTCTCTAACCTCTCAATGCTAGGAAACCCCAGATTCAATCACGAGACCGCTTCTGTGTGCTACCCACATTCAGCCCTTAGTTTCATCCAGCCTTATTTTGGCCAAAGCATACAAGGTGTTATTTTGGTAACACCTTGAATGCTGATTACTCAGAAACTTCTGTCTCAGCTGGACCTCTCCTCTGGACTCCCAGCACCCCTCGCACTGGCACCATCTCAACCTAACCATGCAAAGCCGAGTTCCCGGTCTGCCACCCCAGGCCCCTTCTCCTGCTTCTGCTCTTGTCTTGGCCATTTACCTGCCACCCATCCAATGGTTTTGGATAGATAAATTTCACTGTTGTCCCCCTATCGTGCACCACTTGTGCAATCCATGAAGAAATCCCTTGGCCGATCTCAAAAGTGCAGCCAAGATCGAACTGCTTCTCACTGCTGCCTGGTCCAAGCTACCACTGCTTTCCACTTGCTGCCTCCCAGCACCTGACCTCTTTCATCTTGGCTCCTTCCTACCTTGACACAGAAGCCTGAGAGATGCTCCTATTGGTTCATCCTTTGCCTCCGTTCAGGGGACCCCTCTGCCCCTCTCTCAATGTCAATGAGAGACATTGGAGTCCCCTCAGTGGCTGCAGGTTTGAATATTTGAATAACATGGCACAATCGCTCCTCTCTGACCTTTTGCTTTCTCCCCTCCCTCCACAAAACAGGCATGTTCCACCCAAGAGCATCTAGTCTTGTTTTTCTGGTATCCTGTGGCTTTTGCCCAGTCCTGTGACCCATCACCTCCTTAAAGCTACTCAGACAAGGCCTCTCTGGTTGCAACACCTTCCGCCTGTTACTTCCTGTACCCCATCCTTCACCAACTTTCAAGGCCCCATGAGAGGCCTGCTTCATTTTATGTCTGGTCCCATCTAGAATATAATTCCTGTCCCAACAAAGGCAGGAATTTTGGTATTGTGCCTACAATTCCCCCACACCTGCAGCAGAGCCTGGCTTGTGGCAGGTGTACAATGAATTCAAGATGAATACATGGGTACTGGGTGCTGGGGAGCAAAGGACCTGGCCCACAAGGCAGGGTGGCACCCTGAAGGGTGGGAGTAGAGGTTGGAGGGAGTAGGTTCTGATAACTCACTCAGTCAGACATCCCAACCCCTCCAGGTCTCTACCACATGGAGACAATCTAAGGAGTTGGGTGGCCCCTATAAGGAGTGCTGCACAGAACTGTTGCAGAGAGAGGTGCTCCGCAGGCCTGCTCCCTTCTCTATCTCTTCCCTCTCAGACTGGACACTCCACCAAATAGCCAGGAGTGGGAAAGACGCTGGTGAGGACACCCTGTGCCCTGCAGCTGGAGCTGCAGCAACTCCCTGGGGGCAGCCACATGGGCTAGGACTACAGAGACTGGGATGTACAGCAGCCCCCCACCCAGTTGCCTCCTCACTCCTCATAGTACCAGAGCCTGTGTCCCTGCCAGGTGCAGTCACCAGGGTGACTGGGGCCCCTGGATCCTTGAAAAACCTTCTGCTCTGTCAGAAGCCAAAGGGTCCCTCCAAGTCCACCAGAGTCAACGCATGGTGCACTGTGAGGGTTCCAAAGATGGCTCTGTCTCCTGCACCCTGCCAAATGTGAGGCAAGGTGAGGAAGAGGTATCCCTGGACCAAAGGCAGTGGCCTCAACACCGAGCTACAGGGCATGAACACACTCCTTCTTCCAGTGGCCAAGGAGCTCTGAAGGCAAGCCTGGTGGGAACAGAGCACCCTCAGCCAGCCTGGTGGCTGCAGGACTTCTGTGACCTGAGGCTGGCAGAAAAGCAGCAGATGCTCCATTACATTGGTTCCTCAAGGGCTGTGCAGGTGGGAGGTTCAGGCCCAGACCCCAAGGGGTCCCCTGGGACAGTCAGAGGAGAGGGGCTCAGGAGCCATGCCCTTCGACCTCCACTCCTGAGCCTCCCAGGGTCCCATGGGTCAGCCCTTCCGTGATTGGGCGCATCCAAGGTATTCATCGCACACCAGTCACCAAGCACATGTCAGGCTCTGCTATAGGTGTGGGGAGACCAAGGGATAGATACAGGCAGGAGTAGACCACAGATGGTCTCTGGGGTCCTTGTCATCCTCACAGACAGCTCAGTCCTCTTGGCCTGGCTCATACCAGCCCTGCATAGGCTGACTACCATGTCACACCTCTGGTTGTGCTGACCATCCACATCGTCCACCTCCTTCAATGGCTGGGCCACCTCATTAATGCCTGTTTTATGTGGTCACTCTGAGATACACACTTTGTCCACTGCAGGGTTGGGGGGCCCAGCACATTTCTCAGAGGACTTCTGCCTTGCCTGAGTCCAGGCCATCCAGGGTCCTGCAGTTATCTCTGGATAGCAGCCCCAAGGACTCCAGGTGCCAGGTCCTGCTTCTGGGCTGCCCAAGGGCAGCCTTGGACCCCAGTAGTGCCAGATTCCAAGGGCAGAGACAGAGTCTGCCTCCCTACGGGCTTTTGTTCTCATATCTAGAGCTATATCCAGTAGTGGATGTGGAGACAGAGCCTGCTATGGTCACTCACCTGTTGCCCTGACTGACCAGGAAGGGAGAGCCCCAGCAGGATCAAGGGCCTGACCTCCTCCATGATGAAAAAGACACAAATTCCAACACTGCCTGCTGGGATTCACGGCAGCTTGTGTGCCCCTCTGTAAAGTGGGGCCAGAGGTGTCTACCTCCCTGGGCTCTGGCAGAGCCTGTCCACAAAAGCTCTCTGGAGGAGAGGCCATGGGAAGTCTCCCCAGTGTTCACATTCCTGCTCAGGTGTGACTGACCCCTCGGAGAGGACTTTCCCCACAGACCTCACTCCCTTCCCAGAACATTCCCACTACATGTCCTTCTTGACTGGACTCTTCTCTGAAGTGACCTTTGCTCCTGATGCAGCTCCATCTGCTGCTGTGCTTTGAGCCCCACAGGGTCCGACTCTCTGTTGGACAGTGTCTAACTCAGTTCATAACACTGACACCAAATTTGACAATAACGAGTGGACCAGTGAGGTCTCCCAGGGCTCAAGGTCCCACTGGAGCATCCCCAAGGCTTTGCACAAATAGATCCTGAGGACCCCTCATGGTGCTGGGATTCCCTTATTTGCTTTATCACAACGTGCGGGTCCCAACCCTGAGGGAGAAGGCCTGGGACGACTTGGTAGGGCCAGGCAGGCGCCGCTCTGGGGAAGGTGGACAGCAGGTAACAGGCACCTGGAGAGGGACGATGAGGTCAGTGTGGAAGGCGCGGCACCAAGGGGGTGGCAGCCAGGTGGGCCCTGGAGAGAATCACCGCCCACAGATGGCGGGTGCGCGGCGACATCCCGGTGCAGGGGACCCTGGCTCAGCCCCGAGGCTGATGAGGGAGGAGCCGGGGTCTGGGGCGGGGCTCTCCCTGTCGGAGGGCGGGACAGCGCGGTCCCCCGGTAGACAGCAGCTATGCGCACGCTGCTGGAGCCCTGTCCAAGAATTCCCGGACTGGAGGCGGATCCCAAAATCTCCGGCTTCTGCAACCCGAGCCCCGCAGAGCGGCGGGCGCGCTCCCCAGCACCGTGCGCGGGCGCGGCGCGCCGCATCGAGGCGAGCTGCGCATGCGCTGAGGCACTGGCTCCAAGGTCGCCCCGCCTTGGCCCCGCCCCGCTCCTGCCGGCCGCTGCCCACGTGATCCGCCAGGCTCAAATAAGCCGGTCAGCTGACCCGGCCCGACTGCACGGTCATCCTGGCTATAAGCGCGCGACCTTTGGCGCTCCGCTCCGTTCCGACCGGGTCCGGCCGCCGCCGCCATGCAGTCCCCGGGCTTCATGCTGCTCGCCCTCGGCCTGTTGGCCGCGTCCGCCACCGCACTCATCAGGTGAGGTCCCCGGGCCGTGCCTTGAGGGAGTGGGGGGCGCGGCGCAGAGGCCCGGCGAGTACCCTGGCCTTGCGCCCCCGCGGGGCTGGAGTGCACCTGTGCGCTCTGATCCGCCTCCTGCAGGGCCACCCCCCCATAGCGGGCGGCGGAGCTCTGTAGTGCAGGGCTCGCCCAGGGGTCCCTCCTACCTGGGGTCGGCCTTGAGGGGACCAGAGGATGGCCGTAACTCATACGGACCCGTCTCCCCAGAGTAGGGGCTGTTGGAGGAACAGGGCTGCTGCAGGTGGGGTTGAGGGTTGTGTATTGAGTGCACGACTGGGAAGGCCCTGGAGCCCCCTGAGCCTAGGCTGGACGTCTGCCCTCTATGGGACCCCCTTTGCCAGCTGTGTACTGGAGCGTGGACTTGGAGTTTACTCGGTATGGGTCCCTCAGGCCCTGGGCACCCTCGTTGTCCCTCAAGTCCCAGAGAGAGGAGGAGCTCTAAGGGGAGTGGCCTAGCTCACCAGCCCTGGGACTGGGACTCCGTCGGTCGTCGTAGTTGAGGACCAGGCCCTCCTCAAGGCCTAGGGACTTGGCCTCAGAGCCAGGTGGGCCTTTGTGCCAAGCTAAGCTTCTTCCACTCTGCTGAGGTGCCTAGGGGCAGTTGGGTGGGGCCTAGGTCTGTGGGAGCTGGAGCTGGCTCGCAGGGCCTGTTGGGTATAGGGGGCTGGGTGAGAACTGAGCTTTTCAAAGGCTGTGGGCTGCAGCCTGGGGGCGGGTAGCCACAATCAGAGTCATTGTAGGGAGCAATCACAGGCCTGAGCCTGCCCCACCCTCAGGCCTCCCCTCTCTGGGGAGGGCAGAAATACTAGTGCAGTTGGCGATGCCCTGGGCACCTGGAGACTCCCCAGCAGAATCAAAGCCCCTCACGCCAGATCCTGGTTCTGATGGACTGATGACACCTGTTTCCTGATCCCTGGAGAGTGTGTCCCTTCCCTTAGGGCCAGAACCTGGGCTCTTCCAGCCCACCACTCTTCGGCAAGAATCCTATCTTCCTGGAGCAGGAAAAGCCAGCTTTGACCTTGGCCTCAAATTCCTGGGCAGGGAAGAAGTTTTGTCCTAGCAGTCACATGCGCAGACCAGCTCTCCTGGGAGGGAAGGCATGAGGGAAGGGCCAGTGACCCCTGGGAACAGAGCAGGGACTCCTCACTCTGCTGTTAAACAAGGAGTCCCTTGTTTAGCAGAACCCAGAAAAACTGACCTCCATCTCCAGCTCCCTCATGTAAGGCCAGACCCCCTGAGGCCACCAAGCCAGGACTCCTGGAGGGGTGCTCCCAGCAAGGTATGAGGGGTGTGCATGGATGACACACGGAAGCCTCTGGTGCCCCAGAGGGCAGCCCTCAAGCTCATAGGTCTGATGGTGGTGGATATGTAGGTGCTCAGGTGCAGGATCATATGAAGGGTGGCTGGGTAGGACATGGAGGGGGAGATTGGTGTCGAAGGTCCTCCCCGAGAGGTCAGGCAGACTGAGCCTGCTGGCCTGGAGGAGTGACCACCTAACTGTGGAGTCTAGGTGCAGTGGGATGCCTCAGGGGGCATTGTTCAGCGGTAACGGGCCCAAAAAATACCCTAAAGAGACACCACTGGTCACCATCCCAGAAGAGACTAGAGCAGGTGCGCAAGGAGGGCTGGAGGCAGGTGGGGAGTTTTGGGACTCTTGGAGTGATTGAGGGTGGCTGGACTGGGATGTGGCCAGTGGAGTGGGGTGGACATTCTGGCCTCTGGCTAGGATGTGACGTGTGAGGGGGAATAGGGCCACTCAGGACTTTGGCCTGAGCGACCTGGGATGGTGATAGGTTGCTGTTCACTGATTTGGGGGTAGCTGAGCCTGCAGGTTTGGGCAGGAGCTTGGTTTAAGCTATGCACAGTTAGAGACATCCAGGGGACACCTAGGTGGATCTGCCATGGAGGCAGCTGATGGGGAGCCTGGTAGCCAGGAGTGACTCTCAGCCATAGGAGGGCTGCCTGGAAGCATGCCTCTACCCCTTCCTCACAGAATCCCCCTGCACAAGTTCACATCCATCCGCCGAACCATGACGGAGATGGGGGGCCCTGTGGAAGACCTGATCCTTCGATCTCCCGTGACCAAGTACTCCCTGCAATCGCCTGCCAAGACCAAGGGCCCAGTGCCTGAGATGCTCAAGAACTACATGGATGTGAGTGTGGGTGGGGCCTGGCAAAAACTCCCATTCCTGTGATCTGCAGCCTGCGGTGTAAGTGGTGTACCTGCTCAGTGGGTGGTGCTTCTGGGCTCAGCTACACCCTTCCTGCCATGCTTCTGAGATCCCCACTGCTGCTGGATTGCCCGTGGCCCCTGGTCCACTCCTGTAATACTAGGGTTTTGAACTCAGGGCCTGTGCTTTACCACTTGAGACATAAACTCCAGCTCTTCTTTTGAAGGGCTTGAACTCAAGGCGTCACGCTTGCTAGGCAGGCATTCTACCTCTTGAGCCATTACACCCGCCCTGTTCTGCGAAGGTTTTTCGAGATAGGGTCTCAAGAACTATTTGCCTCTGACTGGCTTCAAATGGTGGTCCTCCTTATCTCTGCCTCCTGAGTAGCTAGGATTACAGGCGTGAGCCACCAGCCCTTTTTCTTCTTTCTTTTTTAGCTTTACCTCATATTTTTAGACTGGGTCTCACGTTTTTTGCCCGGGACTGGCCTGGACCACTTCCTCCTATCTGTGCCTCCCATGGAACCAGGATAGCAGGTGCATGACACACTGCCTGGCTTGTTTATTGAGATAGGGTCTCACTATCACTGACTTCTTCCCGAGGCCAACCTCAAACCCTGATCCTCTCAGTCTCCTGAGAGTATAGGCCCTCTTTGTGTCTTGAGCACTGGTTACCAGCTAAGCTGTACTGGGGACTGTCCCCAGGGGGAATGGAGGGACTTAGAATCAAACCCAGCCTGGCCCTGAACCTACCCCCAGAGGCTGTGGGCTTAGAGACCCTGGGGTCCCTGCGCTCAGGTTATCAAACCTGCCTACTGTCACTGGCTGGAGCCTCTGTGTCCTGCCTGTCCTGTGGGAGGCCGGGATGACCCTGTGGCACGGTCCTGTTCCCTCACTTGTCTTTGGAGTCGGTAGCCCCTCTTGAGCTCATTGTCCTTGAGGGGAAACAGGCTCCAAGGTGAAACATTCTGGAAGCCACAAGGCAAACTGGAGCCTGGCGGGCCTGGTCCCAGCTCTGTGCAGCCAGGGCCTCAGGAAGAGCCAGGCATCTCTGTGGCCGCCCTGGACTGTCTTGTGCCACCTGCCTCTGAGTCTCAAGAGCCCATCACCACCATGCAGTCTGGGCAGGGGTGACTGCCTGCCCAGGAGTGCCCTCCTCCTGTGTGTTCGGAGCCTAGGCCACCGTAGGAAGCTTGAGACCCTAGCATGTGACTGTCTGGGGAGGTGAGGGACCACCTGGTCCCTCAGAACACGTGCTGTGCACAGGGAGATTTGCTGAGTCACCCCCCTCCCCCATGGTCACCTCTCTTGTGTCAGGAGTTAGTAGCTGGTGCTGCTCTCTGGTTTCAAGTGGTGGAGAGACAGCTGGGCTTGGAGCCAGGGTCCTTTGTAGACTGGTGGTCCAGGCTTCCTCCTGGGGAAGGGGATGCCCAGGAAGACAGGACCCTAAACTCCAAGTCCCCAGGGCCTCTGCCAGGGCTCCTTCCCCTCAGAGGGACACAGGACCCCTCATCCTTGGCTGGTACCCCTGGTCGTGGCCTCTGCAGTCCCCGAGAACAAGTGGGGAAACTGAGGCTCAGAGTAGTGAAGACACAGCTGCCAGGCAGGGACTGACTTGGAGCCAAGGCTAAAGGCCTCCTCCCAGGTGTGGCTTCTCCCTTCATTCAGCCAGACCCCCTCCAGGTTCAACTGAGGCCCCCAGAATCAGGACATGACCCCGTTCTCAGGCCTGGGATCCCTCAGTAGCAGAGGTCTTCCAGACTGGCCTGTCCAGCCCTGGCCTGCCCAAAGCCTCACCTTCCAGAGGCTACAGTCCTTCCCCAGTCCCACCACATATCAGGTGCCTGTGAATCTGGGGGTGGGGCTCTAGGGTCCCAGGCTTAGCAGGAAGTAGACAAAGGGACTGAGGAGGTGGAAACACAGCCCACCTCTAACCTGGGCATTGCGACCTGACTCCCAGCACAGCCGGGGGCTCGCCCAGGCTCCCTCCCCTTATCCCGATGCCCACTTCTCCCACCAGGCCCAGTACTACGGGGAGATTGGCATCGGGACCCCCCCTCAGTGCTTCACAGTCGTGTTTGACACTGGCTCCTCCAACCTGTGGGTCCCCTCCGTCCATTGCAAGGTGCTGGACATGGCCTGCTGTGAGTAGTCCCTGCCTGTCCTGCTCCTCTCACAAGTGTCCAGTGGGGAAGCCAAGGGTCCTGTGCCTTTTGGGATGCTGGACTCGGCACTGCCCCACCCCTTACCTGCTCTGTGCACGGAACACTTTCCTCTTCAGGGGCCTTGGACAAGAAGGTGGAAGCCCTGGCATGGGGTCCTCTGAGCTCTCCTCTGGAGAGCTGGAGCTTGTCACTCAAGTCCAGCCTTTTTGGAATATAGCTGGGGAGGCAGGGCAGGTTTGGGACCTGCAGGTGACCTGACACAGTCAGTCTCTTGGGCAGTGTGATGCTCCCACCTGTCAGCCACATCAGACAGGCCAGCTCCTTGGCCCTGCCTGAAGTGCCCCTGTTTCTGGGTGAACCTGTTCATGTCATCTGCGGCCATCTTGTTGGGGGTGGGGACCTTGCTGGTCAAACATGGAGCAAGCTGAGGGCTGGGCCACCATGGGGCTGAAAGCAAGTCTCGGAATCACACAGGGCCCACAGTGTGGAGGTCCCCAGCATGTGGGCTCCAGGTCATCACCACAGTTCATCCTGGTAGGTTGAAGATCCAGAGGCTAAGGTTGGGAGCAGCAGGCTGATGGCCCTCTGCCCTGCTCCCCACTCCCGTGCAGGGTTTCATCACAAGTACAACAGCGACAAGTCCAGCACCTATGTGAAGAACGGCACAAGCTTTGACATCCACTATGGCTCAGGCAGCCTCTCTGGGTATCTGAGCCAAGACACTGTGTCGGTGAGTCCCCAGGGCTTCTGGAGGGACTGGGGGCACTTGCTGCAGCAAGGGATTCACCCTGTGTGCACCTGTGGCTGATGGAGAGAGTCCGGTAGCCCTGGCCCCACCCGAGTTCCCTGTTTAGTTTGGGTGAGGAGGAACTGTGGCCTGTTAGGCAGGTGCATGACTTGAGGAAAGACCCTGGGCAGGGCAGGAAGAGCCTGTGGTGCCTGGTGGTGAAGAAACAAGGCAGCTGGCTGCCCAGTCAGTGGCCTCTTGCAGGCCACTGGCCTGGAGGTGCAGGGTGAGGCGTACCGGGGAGCATCAGGTTCTGTTCTGGGCATGTTGGGTGTGAGGTGCCGGCAGGGTATCTGGGATCAGGCCTGGGAATGGAAGTGGTCCCTGAAGCTGGCTGGGGAGGCTCAGAGGGGTGCAGTGTGCCAGAACCCCCATCTGGGGCTGCTGGAGAGGTATCTGTGGGGAGCCCGGCTGGATAGCCCAGATGGATAGCCCAGGCCTGCCTGTGGTGTAGGATCTTGCAGGCACCCCATCTGGGGATGATAAGCAGAGGAGATGGTGTCCCTCCCAGCATAGGATGGGGCAGAAAGCAGCAGACTCCTCCCACAGACGCTGTGGTTGGGACCAGGGGTCTAGCCAGCTTTTTCTTCATCTGGGCCTTGTCCCAAGAGTGATGTCTTATGTCTGTGCTGCAAGGATGAGTCTTGGGGGCTCTGCCATCCCATGGCTGAGACCTGTCTACTGGAAGCTCCAGCCTCCTCTCTGGGCTCCTCAGTGAACAGGATGTGACCCAACTCGCTCCCCCTCCTGGGTTAGCCTCAAGACTGTTCTTCCCACATCCTGCTCTGGCCTCCTTAATCTCTCTGCAGCTTCATCCTGGGTAGGGGCAGGCTGACAGGGCAAGGGGAGTAGGGCTTTGGGGAGGAGGCATGGGTTCCCCATCCTCTCAGGCTGCAGGCCCATGCTCAGTGACTTACCCCAAGCCCTAGGGGACAAGACTGGCCTGGTGTGGAAGGGGTGGGCAGGGGTGGGAGCTGAGCCAGAACCTGCCCCTCTGCACTCTTGCTCACTTTCCATCTTTTGTTGAAACATGGTCCCTACTATGTACAGTTGTTTCCAGCCCTTTTGCCTCCCCTCTCTGCTGTTCTGATGTCGTGTGAGCGTCTCTGAGCTGGGCTTAGTAGCTGTGACTCCCCTATGCCTAGGGACAGCCTGCTGACCCTGCAGTGCAAATGCTCTGGCCCACAGGTGCCCTGCAAGTCAGGGCTGTCAGCCCCAGGTGGAGTCAGAGTGGAGAGGCAGGTCTTTGGCGAGGCCACCAGTCAGCCGGGCATCACCTTTATCGCGGCCAAGTTCGATGGTATCCTAGGCATGGCCTACCCCCGTATCTCTGTCAATAACGTGCTGCCTGTCTTCGACAACCTGATGGAGCAAAAGCTGGTGGAGAAGAACGTCTTCTCCTTCTACCTGAACAGGTGAGTTGCAGGGCTCATCTGACCAGGTGTGTGTATGGGATGTGGGTTCTAGCTGTCCTACTTTGCCTCTTCCAGCTCTCCTGGGCTCAGCTGTGCTGCATTGCAGGCTGAGGGAGGTGGGACCACAGCCCTGATCTCTGACCTCGGCATCCCAGGAGGTGGGAATGGGCTGCCCTCTCCTAGGTGGGCAGCCAGCCTCCTGAGAAGGCTGTCGTACCAAGTCTGTAGTTGAGAGGTTCTGGGGCAGACTTGGGTCCCAGGCTTCTGACTATTGAGGCTTTCCTCCTGTGTGAATTGACCTGGTTAGGGTCTTGGTGGTTCAGGGTCTGATGAGGGGCAGATGTGGGCCATGGCCAGGGGGTGATGACTGTGAGCCCCAATCTGCAACAGCAGCTGTAGGGGGAGAGGCTCCTGGAGTCTCCTCGGAGGGAAGGAAGGAACCCTGGATGGCAGAGACAGGTGCCCCTGAGGGAAGACCATAAGCCCCAAGTCCCACATGGTGAGTGGCCTCTAGGGAGGCTCCCAAAGGGGCAATGAACTTCTGACTGAGGGAGCCCCTGGGGACCTCCTGCAGGGAGCAGGGGTCCCCTTGTAGCCGCTGTCCTAGCATGGGTGATCCCGGTTGGAGAGCCTTGCAAGGGGCCTCTGGCCTCGGTGCTCAGTCCAGTGCTGCAGGTCCTGGTGAGAGCTCCAGACAGGAGTGGGTGACTGGGACACCACAGCTGCTCATCCTGGCTTCCCAGGTGCAGCAGGGTGTCAGCGACTCACACTAAACAGCAACTGGTGACTCTCCACACCCTCCCTGTCCAGACCGGATTCCAGTTGCCTTGGCCAGGAGGACCTATTTGACACTTGGTCTCCAGGCCTGATCCCTGACCCTGGGGCACTTCAGGCAGAATGCCAGTCTAAAACTTTCTGGTCTCACTCCACCCTGTCCACTCCCCACCCTTGGCTTAGTGTGGATTTAGCACTCTTTCCTTGGCCCCTTACTTGGAAGGTGACTGCTGCTCGGCTCTGCTGGGCTCTGGGCAAGGTTGCTGGCTAGAGGCTGGGGTGTGATGGTGCAGCTGGGTATAGGAGAGAATGGGGTGAAGAAGGTCCCCTCCTCCAGGGTAGGTGGGGAACCCAGAGATTGGCCAGGTCCCAGTTTGGAGACCCACAGGCATGACTGCTGGGTTGGACTGGTGCAGAGGAGAATCAAGCAGGATGAGGGGCTGTGGCTCCAAAAACAGGCTTGTTGAGTGGAGCATGGGTGAGGAGAAAAGCAGAGAGGCGCCTGTTGTGTTTCCATATCTGGGATTTCAGAGGCAATGACAGGAGGCGGAGGCAGGGTGGAACTCCAGGCGGAGGACAGGATAAGGCTCGGGCTTCTGAGTGGGGGCATGGGTCAGGAGGGGGTGGCAGGTGCAGCTGGGGACACCTGTCAGGATGGTGGGGGACCTTGAGTGAGAGCTTTCTTGAGGATTTGCTGTATGTTAGAGCTCACACTTGCTGGTTTATAAAAGGACCTCAGCGTGGCTACCAGCCACATAAAGTGAAGTGGTCTGTATTCTGCTTGAGGGTGCCCCAGTGGGCGTGTGTATAAAATTAGAAGTGGGGGAAGATTAAGAGGGAAGCCAAGATTTGGAGGAACTTGTGTGGATGCAGCAGAGGTCATTCTTGCTTGGAGCGAGCCATCTCAGGGCTTGTCCTCACAGGAGCCCGTGTGGTTTTTTTTCCCAGGCAGAGTGTCCGTTCTTCTTGGTCTCTGGGCTTGCACTTCCCTGTCTGCCATGCAGCCTTGACCTTGGCCAGCCATGGCTGAACCTCGGGTACTAAGGAAACCCAGAGAACTTGAGGGCCCAGCAAGCTCTGTCATGCTGAGATAGGCTGGGTCCTCACTGAGCAGCCCATGCAGGGTGGGGTTTGGAGCCCCTCCCCAGAAGAAGGACATTCAACTCCTCTTCCTTCTGGGTTGACCCACCCCTGTGGGGCCAGGAAGTCCCTTTTCAGGGAGCCCTCCAAGGTTGCCGTACCTACCTACCTCCTTACTTCTGACCTCATGGCCCACTGGATCCTCGGATGCTGTGCACAGGCCCTCCTGTGCTGGAGGTGGGAGACGCTAATGCTGTTCCCTTCCCCTTCCCTCCCAGGGATCCCAGCGGGCAGCCTGGAGGGGAGCTGATGCTGGGAGGTATTGACCCCAAGTACTGCAAGGGCAGCTTCTCCTACCTGAATGTCACCCGAATGGCCTACTGGCAGGTTCACATGGACCAGTGAGTTGTGGGACTTTGGTGGTTGGGTGTGGCACACAGTTACCCTGGGGCTTGGCCCCTGCCTTAGCAGTCCAAAGGGTTGAATTTGGCGCAGAGCTGGGTTCAGGCCGGACCCCACACCCACTCTTTGCCGCTTTAAGACTCCTCCTTTTCCCTTCACCCTTGGGGGAGTCAGGTGGCCCCAGGAAAGAAGAGAAGGTCCCATGGTATAAAGATGCAGCCAGGGCAGGTTTCCCAGGCCCAACCCTGGCCAGGTGAGAGACTTACGCCTTCTTCCCTCCAGGTTGAATGTGGGCACCGAGCTAACCCTGTGCAAGGGGGGCTGTGAGGCCATCGTGGACACGGGCACCTCCCTCCTGGTAGGCCCGGTGGAAGAGGTGAAGGAGCTACAGAAAGCCATTGGGGCCGTGCCTCTGATCCAGGGAGAGGTAAGCTGCAGGGCCAGGTGGGCAGACAGAATGAGGCACCTGAGTCCTTACCCTGACACATCACTTGTGCCTCTTTTAGTACCTGATCCCCTGTGAGAAGGTGTCCAGCCTGCCTTCGGTCACCCTGAGGCTAGGAGGCAAAGACTACACGCTGTCACCAAATGACTACACACTCAAGGTGAGTAGGTGAACAGGGGGTGGGCAAGGGTAGCCGTGTTTGCTGGATGCCTGTAGAGGGAGTGACTGCCTTGTGACCACCATGGCTGTGCAGGTGTCTCAAGCCGGGAAGACCATCTGCCTGAGTGGTTTCATGGGTATGGACATCCCGCCACCCAGCGGGCCACTCTGGATTCTGGGTGATGTCTTCATTGGAAGCTACTACACCGTGTTCGACCGTGAAAACAACAGAGTTGGCTTCGCTGAGGCCGCCAGGCTCTAGCTTGCCCCCTGCCTGCCAGCAGGGCAAAGGACCAGAGTCCAGTAGGAGGAGGCCAGCCAGCTCTCACCCCTAGTTCCTTGCCCACTCACACACTCACATACTCACTGCCCACTGCAAGGGCTCCCAGGAGGCCGGGCCCGAGCTAGTCTTGCTGTTCTGTTCTGTGGTTTTTCCTTCCTCCCTGCCTGCCTGTCTGTCTGAAGAGGGGCAGAGGTCAGTCCAGCACATGGATCCATTTTGCTGCCTTGTAAGCCCCAGTCCATGCTTGGCACTTGCCAAGTTTGTGTGTCCCAGGAGCCCCCCTCCCCGACAGCCCTGCCATCCTTGGCTGCCTGGTCCACAAGGAGCCCCTGCCCTGTGACAGTCAGCCCTCAGAATCCTCCTCCAGAAGCCTGCCCTGCCCCAGGTCTCTCCGCCCAGCCTGGGGCCAGTGCCAGGCTCTGTCACCCCCTCTCATCTGTATGTCCTGGCCACTGAAGCCTGAAGATGTGTAAGAAAGAACAAGAGGACAAAAGTCAGCTTTGTGGGCCTGTGGGGTCCTGGGGTTTGACCCCACCCTGGAGGGCATGTATTGGGGGCTCTGGATGACTGGGGTGGGGCAGTGACTGACCTGCTGCTCTTCTCCCGGGGCAGCTGGGAGCCAAAGTTGAAGATGTGTGAATACAGTTGTTTGGGCCTCTGTCTCTGTTGGCGTGTTGTGTTCTTGGTGGGCATTGGGACTTGGGGAAGAAGCACTTGGGGGGACTGAGTCAGGACAAGACCTGGGGAGCAGCCTGAGGTGCATAGACCTGCACAGGGGGACCCTGAGGCTTTACTTGCTGTCCAACCTTGTGGGCAAGATGTGGCTGGAAGAGCTGACTGGTTCTGAAGCCTTGGAACAGTGGCCAGCAGATGTGGCCTTGGCCAGAGGCTATAGGGCAGGCTCAGCACAGCATTTTTGGTGTGAGTGCTTGCAGTGAGGCAGGATTTTCAGGGAGGTGGACCAGGCAAGCACCTATTACACTTTTCCAGGGAATTCCTGCCCTTGGAAGATACACAACAGAATCAGGCCCTAGTGGGGCCTCTGACTATCCTCTACACCCTTCTTTAGGCCAAGGGAATAGAAGGTGTCTGCAGTGCTGGTGGTGCAGGCAACTTGCCTCTGCCAGGCTCTGGAAGCAGCATTACGCCCCTTATTCTCCTAGAGCATGCCTCCTGGGGTCATGGGGTTCAGAGATCAACGTTAGACCCCTCCACCTGGCTGCAGATACTGGTGTGCCCTGTATCTGGGGTGGTCTTGTGTGTTCAGAGGGAAGTCAGGTGCAGAAGTCCAAATGCAGCCCTGGTGCTAGCCCAGCTAGCTGTGTTTTAAGGATCAAGTAGAGCCAGGATTCCTTTTGGGATCAGTAGTCCTTTGGAGCCCCTGCCCCACCACCTCAGCAGGTGCAAGAAATAAGTGTGACCTCTGCTATCCTTTGTCACCCTCCTGGTGCTGCACAGTGGACTCTCATTGATCTCCCAGTCCAAGGGGTTTTGGGAACTGAACCCCAGCCTGAAGCCCAGCAGGCAACCTCTGGAGAAGGTTCATCCAGAGCTGCCAAGAGGCTGGTAAACATGTGCCCAGTATCTCTGTGCCTGAAACCCGAGCAGGGCTGGGCAGAGCTTTGCAGGGCCTGGCAGGGTTTCTGGGGAGACCAGTGTCATCAAAGGCTCTGTGCACCAAAGCCAGAAGACTACAGCTCCTCCCTCCCCTGCAGGCCTATGGCTGCTCCTTCCCAGCCTGCTTGGCCTGTTCTGCTGCTCTGCTGGCCTGCAAGCTGCTGCAGCTGTCCCCATGAGGATTCTGTCCATCCAGTAGCATCTTAGGACCTGGGGTCTGACTCTGGATTCAAATGCATTCTCTTTTTCTACCTGAGTGATCCACGCTGGGCCTCTAGTCCTTGACTCTAGAATCAGGGGAGAAGCAGGACCCTCCTTACTGCCAATCATGGTACTCGTACCCTCTCCAAAGGTGTTTCTTGGCTCACACCTTAGCCCGGAAGATACCATAGCTGAGGTCAGCCCTTCACTCACCAGCTCAGAGTGGGGGTGGAGGGGGAAAGGCTGAGGTCCCAGAGCCCCTAAGCTGATATTCGGGGGAGGACCTTGGCTGTACCCTCACCTTGGGTCCAGTCTCCCACAGGATCCAGTCTCCTTACTGCCTGAGATGTTCAGACTTGGCCCCAACCTATTTGTCCAGGCAGATGGAGGCCGAGTGGCAGGGAGGGCCTGGAGAGAGTGGTGCTCGTCCCAGGAAAGCATGGCACAGTCCCTTGCAGGCTCCCCCGGATGCACCTCAGTCAGGCCCTTTGAAACCAAAGGGGTGGTGGAGTTGGATGAGGGAGATCTGAACCTGGCTCCTGGCAGGGCCCATCTGTCCACAGGGTTTGTTGGGCCCTGAACTAAGGCTGGGCTCCATGAGGGGCATAGCCAGGACTTCCGAGAAGAGGGGTGGGGGGCTCCTTCTGCTTGAGAATTAATTCCTCCCACTCTCTGAGGGTTTATCTATATCATTTAAGACTGACATTGTACAGTAGGCTCCAGACATGCCCAGCTATAGCTGTGCGCGGGGTCAGTCTGGGTTAGGAAGGGGAGGGCTTTGAAGAGGACATGGGGCTTGCCCAGGGGACGGGGATTCCTAGAAGGGTTCGGGGCTCACAGCACTCAGAGGTTCAGGGAGAGAAGGGGGTTTCAGGGGGAGCAGGAGCCAGTGAGTGCCCAGTTAGAAAGGGGTCTCTGAAAAGTGCCAGGGAGAAAGGGGAGGAGGGAGGGTCATGGAGAGACTGGGGCAAATTGAGAGGGTCCAAGGAGACAGAGAGGAAGGTTGGGGACTTAGGAGAATGGGGGCTCAGAGAGGAAGAAAGCAGAGCTGCAAGGTTCAGATGGGTAAAGACAACCCACTCAGAAGGCACCTGCATGATGAGGTGGGGGTCTGAGAGAGGGACAGCCAGGGTCTTCTCCAGGGGCAAAGGGGGCTTCTGGGACTTTTATGGAGCTGGGAAAGCAGCTGGAAACAAGTGTCCAAGAGAGAATGAGAAGGGACTGTGCAGGGGGCTGAGTCCGAGTCTGGGAGGACAGTGTTGGTTAAAGGAAGTGATATTAGAGAGCAACCTCGTGGGATTGCACCAGGTTGGATGGGAGGTTGCAGTAGATGCATGGACTAAGCTCCAAGAAGACAAATGTTAAGGCCTCTGTGAGGGACCAGGGACCAGGGCCTTGGAGCAGGACACCTGCCCCCCTTGCGGGGCGGGGGGGAGCTTGCCATTGCAGGGTGAGAGGACACTGGACCAACATGGGTGGGTTATCATTAGGGGGCTGGACTTGGTGGGGTCAGATTTGGTGAAGGGGAACAGGAGTTCCAGCAGCGCTGGCTCAGAGAAGGGTACTGAGGATGGGTGAAGGACCGGGACTTCATAGGTCATCAGGGAAGGGGCTGGAGAGTGGCCAAGGGTTGAGGACTGTAGAGATCACATTATGTAAAGATGGGCACTCAGGTGGGGATTGGGCGAGGTGCACCCCACTTGGGCTATGACTGGGGGCCAGAGACTCCAGAAGGAGGCTTGGTTAGGGACAGGGACAAGAGACCAGATCAGGGGTAGGAACCTGGATGGGTGAGGAAGGGGCATAGTGAAGAGGACAGGCCCAGGGTACCACAGACTCTGTGGACTGGTGAGGGCTTGGTGAGGCTCGGATACCCACCAGGACGGGACTCATGGAGACAGAGAGGGTGGCAGGTTGGCCTCAGGCCCGGAAGAGGTAGGGCCCTAGGGGAAGGGGAGTGAGCTGGTGGAGGGCGATGGGGAAGAGCTAGAGGAAGGGGTTCTCTCTTTGAGGACGCCTATGAGAAGAGCTCCGGGGACTGCTTACACAGGGGCTGGGGTCCCATGAGAGTTTGGGGGCGGGGTGGCCCAGGAAGATGGGAATGTCACCGCGCAGGAGTCCATAGGGTCCCACCCCAGTGGGCCTGCTACTCCCCGAGGTCGCGGCTTCCGGCCCCCACCCTCCCCGCGGAGGAGGCGGAGGTGTCTGCGCCGCCGCGTGAGTCAGGCTCTGGCTGCAGCCGTGGCCGGCCTGGCGCTGCGGAGCGGGCGCGGGCAGCGGGCAGCGGGCAGCGGGGGAGGCAGCGGCGCGCCGAGCCCCGCGCTCTCCCCGCCCCCAAGGTTGGGCGGCCTGGACGCGCATCCGCGGACAGACAGCGGCCCGGGACGGCGGAAGGACGCGCGCACCGAGGCGCAGGGGTCTGGTTCGCCCGCCGCGGAGTCGCCAGTAGGTGAGGACGCACCGTCCGGGCGGATGCGGCAGACCCGGGCTGGGCGGGGGCCCGCGGGACCGCGGCCGCAGACCCCTGCGCTCGCAGCCCCGGTGCTGAGCACTCCGGGTGCCTGGGTGCCCCTTTGGAGAAGTGTCCGTCATTGTGCATCTGCTTGTGGCACGGGGGTGGGTGGCTTCGTGTGCGAGTGTGCGCGCTTAGGGTCCCGGGTACCGCTTTCAGCTGACGTTGGGGGTGGGGTGACGCGCAGGAGTTTGGAGCCCCGCACCTGTTTATCCTTGAGCGAAGCGTGGGAACCTGTGTGGTTGCGTGCGTCCACATTGCGCGCAACGGTGGGCATTTGTTTACCTGGCGTGGCTCAGCGCGCGGGTGTGCCCGGCTGGAGAGCCTGCGGGTGATGCTGGCGTTTGTGGCAATGGGTCTGTGCGCAGGTGTTTCAAAAGCTCCGCTCGTTCTGCAGGTGACTGGCGAGGGCAGGGTCATCGTAAATCTGTGTGCCCTGTGCACCGAGCTTTGGAGTACAGGGGGCTCCGTTGATCGCAGCAGGGTGTCTGTCGGGGTTTGTGGGTGTGTGTTTGTGGGTGCTGTTGTACATGTCAGTGGGTGACTGTTTGTGCGCAGATGGGAAAGTGATGAAAAGCCCTGACGTTCCTGCCAAGGCTGCTGCGAAGGGCTTTGGCAGTGGCTGGAGGGTGGGGGAGGCAGGTGGCAGGCTGGCAGCTGGCTGCCTGGTGGGGATTTCCGTCTCCGCTGGGCTGTTTATGGGGATGCAGGGGAGATGCTGCAGGACTCTAGAGTGGGTGTTGCTGGTATGCCAGGGTCCAGCTCCTTTTTCTCTCCCTCCCTCCAGGCTCAGGGCTCCGGCCAGTCCCCAGCCCTGCTGGGAGCCCCGGCCAGCACCACGGACGGCACCCAGGAAGCCCGAGTCCCCCTGGACGGGGCCTTCTGGATTCCAAGGCCCCCGGCAGGTTCTCCCAAGGGCTGCTTCGCCTGCGTTTCCAAGCCTCCTGCCCTGCAGGCTCCAGCGGCCCCCGCCCCTGAGCCCTCAGCCTCGCCCCCTATGGCGCCCACTCTGTTCCCCATGGAGTCCAAAAGCAGCAAGACCGACAGCGTGCGGGCAGCTGGTGCCCCCCAGGCCTGCAAGCACTTAGCTGAGAAGAAGACCATGACAAACCCCACCACGGTCATTGAGGTGTACCCAGACACCACGGAGGTGAACGACTACTATCTGTGGTCCATCTTCAACTTCGTCTACCTCAACTTCTGCTGCCTGGGTTTCATCGCCTTGGCCTACTCCCTCAAAGTGAGCCTGCTCGGCACTGGGTGAGGGGGGCTGGTAGGATGGAGCTGTGGCTGTCTTCTACCCTCTCCTCAGAGGAGCCCATGAGAGGAGCAAGTGTAGTGGAGAATGTCAAAGGCTACAAGGACAGTAAGGGAATCCTTGTGGATCAGGAGAGATGGGGGAGTTGGCTAGGTCTGGGCAGACATCTAGGGGCTGCCCTTTCCTTTCTGAGCTGAGAAAGCTTCTTGACTGGGCTCGGGGACATCGATTCACTGCACAGCCAGCTTAGTTGAGCCTTGGGGAGTAGTAATTCAAGGCTTAGGATGCTGTCCTGTGGTCAGGGGACATGGGAATTCCAAGTGGCCAGCAAATGGGAATGGAGCCGGCATGGAGCTAATGAGGGTTGCAATTTTGTGCTTGCCAAAGCAGGAGGGGTGATCTCACAGACCCTTACAGACCACCGTCTTCTAGCCCCTCACCTGGGAACTTACACATACCCAGTTGGGCACTTGGTGTGAGACCAAGCCTGGTGGCCAGGTCAGCCCAGAGGAATGGTGGGGAAACATGTCCTATACACCCCCTCACCCTGCAGCCAGCATGAGCACAGCTTCCAGAGCCCCTTGGCACTGGGAGGACCTGGCTGGAGCAGAGCAGGGTGGCAGGTCATGGGACCCCATCCCCCCCACCCCAGGCAAAGTGAGAGAAAGACAGGGACTGGGAGGGGGCTGGTGTTAGATGTACTTAGGGTAAAGTGAAGAAGAACTGAGCAGTGCTGAGCTAGTGGATCCCCACCAGCAGGGTGAGGGGAGACAGGACTCGGTGCCCTCCCCACACCCTTCCACTCCGGAAGGAAGGCTTGGCTCACATTTAGCCAGATCATCACTTCCTTGAGCCCAGACTTGAATGGCCCAAGCCAGATGCAGTTCACAGATTGCAGCTGCCCAGTGATGTGGGGGTTGCAGGGGGCTGGGGAGCAGCAGAGGACTGCAGGGAGAGAACAGCTAGGGCAAGGCTGACCCAGGAGGAAGGACACCTGACAGCTCCACCTCTGATCCATCTGTGAGCTAGAACTGCACCCTGCCCCATATCACATGCCTGGCCATCTGGCTCTCCTGCCCTCCTGATGCATCCTCAGCCCTCCTCCCCATCACACTGCTCTTGTGCCTTCCTCTCCAGGCCTGGGTGCCTCATCCTGGACTCCACCACAGGACCACGTGTGATTCACTGCATTTGTGTGAGTGTGTGCATCGGGTGCATGCATGGATGAGGGAATTGCATGTGTGTGATTCACTCCTTGTTTGTGAATTTGCATACGTGTGCTCGAGTATATTGAACGAATTAATGTGAGCGTGTTGTGTGTGCTTGAGTGTGTATTTGTGGGTGTGAATGTGAGCATTATTGCATGTGTGAGTACAATTGCACGTAAGCACACGTGCATATATGTGGAGATGGTGAGTGTGTGCACACGTGCGTGCGTGAGTGTGAGTGGATGCGCATTTGGGTGTGTGATTGTAAGTGTGTGGAAATGTTAGTGTATGTGTGTTGAGAGTGCATGTGTGTGAGTGCACACACATGCGTGTGTACGGGCATGTGCTGAGGGCCAGCAAACGAGGGGCCCTGGGCACTGGTACTGGCCCTCAGGCCAGCTCAGCTGCGCTTCCCACAGCAATGCTGAGTAGAGGGTGGCATTACTGGAGCATCTGAGACTGCAGCTGGCAGAGTTCAGCCCCCCCTGGAGCCCTCTTGCTGTGTGCCGCCCAAGGCCTGAGGACATGTGTCTGGCTGCCTGGGCTCCTGTACAGAAGCTGTCCCTTCCTGTCCTGGCTCAGGCTGCAGCCGGCTGGCTGGCGCGGGGCAGCCCATCTGGTGTAGGTTGTAGGTAGGTCAGGCGTTTCTGAATGGTGCCGGGCTTGTGCTGGGTGGGGGTGACATGAGGTTGGTGTTCTGGCAGGCAGAGAGGGCTGACCACACCTCCCTCCTGATCCTTCCTAGGGGCAGTGGAAAGGCTTTGGGCTTCCCTGGGAGGCATGTGCATAGCAAGCATAGAAGGGGCTGGCTTTGGCACAGATGTCCAGGAATTTGTCCACCTGTCCCTCCAGCTGTAGTCTCCTACCCCTTGTGCACTTCAAGTACAGCGGGCGGATTGGGTCTCTAGAGCTTGGCTGAAACCCCAGCTTTGGGGACTGACTAGCCCTCTCACTTTGCTGCACCCCTGTTCCTTCATCTGTTCACAAATTAAGACAAAATGCCCTTCAAGCCAGCGTGTGAGCAGGTGGGAAAAAATGCTGCATCCCTGCCTGCCCTCCCTGTCCATCACCCATCAGACCATCCTCCACCCATACAGACCAGGTCAGCTCCACACAGGCTGTTCAGCAGCACGGAGACTGGGCCTCATTTTTCCCAGCCCCGTGTCTGGGAAGGGCAAGAGAGATAAAGCAAATCAGTTCTCCATTCATTCAGTCATGGTGTCCAGACATACTGCTGGAAGGTGTGCAAATGTCTCATCTTGGTATTTAAGGTTCTTTGAGACCATTTTTCATTCCTTCTCCTGGCTTCCCCAAATACTCCCTGTCCATCATTCTGGGGAATCACATGTGCCCTTCTCTCTCTTTTGTGAGATCTAGGTCACTCTCCTGTATAACCCTCCTGCTTTGGTTATATTGCCTGTCCTTTCATCTTGGTGTCATCAGTGTCCAAGACAGAAAGACCAAATTGGGGGTCAAAGAATGTTGTTTGAATGGGTGGATAGATAGAGGCTATGTGATGAAATGTACTAAATGTCCCAGTGTTTCAGACAATGTGTCACACCCAGCTTGGGGCCACGTGGGGTTCAGGCACTGGGGACTTCTGGGAAAAGGCAGCATGAAGGATGGGTGAGGGGAAGATGAGGATCAGAGGCAGCCAGGATGCACTGCACTTGAGCTTACCGCAGGAGGCTGGGCTTTCTAGTGACAGGGAAGTCCAAAGAACAGATAAAGAAGGAAGATGCTGAGTTGGTTTTTGTATTGTATATATTTTGTCAGTCTCTCCTTTCTCACTTATCAACATTATGGATCCACCCAGCCACCCGCCCTCATACAGTCATGTGACACTTCACTCAACAACAGAGCACATATTTAATGGTGGACCTATTAAGATCGTATCGCCTGCTGATGTCATGGCCATCTTAGTTTGTATAAGTGTACTCTATGATGTTGGCACAATGATGAGATCTCTGAGTGACACATTTTTCAGAACATATCCCTCTTATTAAGTGGTGCCCAGCTACATAAATCCACCCTCCTTTGTTCCCTTCAACCCATCCAAATAGCCACTCAGCCCTCCAGCTGTCCATTTATACACAGTCATTCGTGCTTCTTCCTCCTTCCCCTGTTCTCCCATCTCATCCTCACCAACCTCCCATAAACTATTCCTCTAACGTCATTATCTTAGTAACTTGCCCCACTTTACTTACCAGCCCTCCCTGTCAGTATACTCAGCGATCCACCCATCCCTGGACCCGACCCATGGGGTTCATCCTTTAGTCTCCCCACCCTCCTTCCATCACGCTACTCTTGTAGCTGAGTCACACATGTCCAGCCATTAAAAGCCCTTCTTCACACTCATCTTAATTCATTTCTCCTCTCGCCTCCTGACTCATCCCATCTGTCAAAGTAATTCCCCATTATCACAATTTCCCTTCCCTCTCATACATCCATCTCTGCAACTATTCTTGCATCCATTTAGCCACTTCTTCCCTCCTCTTTTGCAGCTCCCTCCCTTCTGCCCTCCCCACATGCTGAGTTCATTAATTTATCCATCCATCCTCACTGTATCCTCAAATTGCATTTGTCCATCCTCCCACCTGTCCACACACTCACCCATTCTTTCATCATGAATCCATCCATTCACCTGCCCATCTTTCCATGCCCTACCAGCCTGACCTCCTTGTTTCTTCCACTCATCCCCAAATACCATCCATCAACACACCCAAGTCATTCACCTGTACCTGTACCCAACATAACACTAACAAACCTTTTCATCTTCCCACTCTGTTGACCCTTCCTAATCTATCTTCCTCCCTTCTACTTTTCCCTTCTTCCAGTTATTTCCATATCAGTGATCATCATTCAATCAACTACCTATTCATCCGTCTTCTACCTCCCTCCTCCTCCTATCCAACCTTTCACCTCCTGTGTTTCCCACACGGCCATATGGTTCTGGTTCACAGCATATGTTTGAGTCATAGCCACACCACTTACTAGCTGTGAAATCCTAAATAAGTAACTACATTGTTCCTAATTTTCTTTCTTGTATGTCTACCTGAAAATGTTGTTGAGAGAAGTTAACATATGAAATGTTCAGTCCTGTACTTTACCATAGCTCCCCTCCTCCTCCTTCTTTTTCTTCTTCATCGTCATCTCCTTCTTCTTCTTCTTCTTCATTTCATTCATCCACCCCCTTCTCTATTCATACCTCCATTACCTCCACCCATTCATTCACCTTTGTAGGGTCTTACTCAGACATCCATCCATCAATAGAGGGATCCTTGATTTCATTCAAATATCCATCCTTTTCCCAGCTCTGCGTCCCTCTGGCCATCTCCTCTGATCATCTCCTCTCCCGTTGCTTCCTCTTCCCTCCCTCCCTTTCACCTAGCTAGCCACTCCTTCCAACAACTTGTTTGATATACAAATTTGTCAATGCAAACATACTTCTCCACTCCTCTCCCTTCTCCCTGACTTTCTTCTCACTTACCCAACTGTACTGTCTCAAATTCTAGCCATGCACTCCATTTCCCTGTCATCTACCCACTCACCATTCTTCCTTCCCTTCTGCCCATCAGTACAGCCTACTTGTAAGTCCATCCACTCATCCACCCACCCACCTTCCCACCTTTTCTTCCCCGCTTTTGCCTTCCATGCATTCACCCATCCCATGTATCTACCTCCTGTTAACCCCTCCCCCCACATCATCAGTTATTCCTTCAGCTATCCTCCATCACACCACCCAATCCATCTACCATTTCTTCTATCCAGTTG